GGGGTGAGGGGGGGGGGCATTCTCCATGAATAACAATGTGAGTCCTATTATTTGCTGAGGGGACTGCTTGAGGCCAGGGTAAGACAAATGTTTACTCTTGGCCTTAATGCACCAAAAAGGTATTAAAGTTTCAGGAGGGCTCCAGGAAGGGTGGGGTAGGAAATCTCCCTGGCACTTGGCCTTGGGCTGGTTCACAGTAAGCTGCTCCCATAATAAAAGGGCAGAGGTCCCCGGGATGACTCCACCTCTGCCCTTTTGCTTGGTTAATTTGGTTACTGCGAAGCAGCTCTTTAAACCAGGGTTTTAAAAATGTTAACCACAGATTGGAATTCTCGGGAGACCGTGGGGGTGGGGGGTGGGGAAAGAATTCAGATCAAAGAATCACAAAGAATTCACAATGAGGGAAGGTGTCTACGTGGGCCAAGCTCGGGCCTTTAGCATGTCTTCAACAGCCCTTCAGAGTCCGGGGCGCCCTCTTGTGTTGACCTCCTCTACAGGCAAAATGATGGATGTGATGACCCCTCAAGGTCACTTCCAAGCTCCAAATCTCTTGATACTGACAGCTGCCGCCACCAAGGGCTCAGATCTAGGCCTAGGCCTGTGACTAGCTTCCCAACAAAAAGTGGGGCGGAGCAAAACCCAGGATTGCTCAGAGACCACTGCAGAGGATCCCATTTCTTTCCTTTTAACCATCTGTGGGGTTTTTTTTTCCCTTCCTGTCGCCCCTCCTTTTTGCGTGTTGCATAGAAACAGAAAGTGCCTTTGTACCAATTACTAGGCACTAATTTACGTTCTTCAGTAGGCGCTGGGCTTGCTGGAGAAACATCAGGATAAGGTGGGAGGGTCGGATGTGGGGGAGGCCTGGAGGGCTGCAAGCTTTTTCTCCCAGCCTGAGAACAGCCAAGGGGAGGAGAAAAAAAACAACCCGAAAAATTTGGAAGTCAAGACTAATGAAAACGACAAAGCTGGTTCTGTCTTGTTTGTTTGTTTAAATCAAGAATGCTAGTGACCATAAGGCATTCAGAAATCACATTGATGGCCTAGAAAGCCAACTCTAACCGGCACACACCAGGTTGTTTCAGAGGCTCCTGGAAGAGTGAATACTGGAACCCATCCACCCACTTTTCTTCCCAATGAACTTCTTAAGGAAGACCATTGTCAGCCGCTTTCTCAATAGGTCATATGATAGTTCTCCCTGGGAAGTTCGAGCTGGGAGTTTCCCACAGACATTGCAGAATGACTAGTTCTTGGGATAAGCGTCAACAATTGAGACAAGAATGTAAATCTGACCCTTATGTTCAGAATCCAAGTATTCATTTCCCTCAGGTTACATCTTTGCATCTGAAGGTAATGGGGTGTTGCCATCAAAACAGCTCTACATTTGCTCCCGACCTCCTCCCCAACCCCAGGCCCCATTTGTCCCCTCCCCTCTCCTCACCACTCTTCCAAGATCCGAGGGGGAAAGAGGGGAATAATGTTTTCATCCCGTAATTCTACTCTGCATGTATCTTCTGTCGTGAAACAGCCTTGCCAGCAGCAGAAGATTTTCTAAGGCAACCCCACTTTGTCTCTGCGAGAATAGGGGAAGTGAGGAAGAGGAGCCACGAGTCCTACCTCGGAGACTGGCAACAAAGAGCAGCTGGGTCCCCTGAAAGGCCTAATTCCCCAGGGCTGAACCCAGCAGCCAGCTGGGGCTTGGGCAGCCGGGGCCATCATTCTTCGGAGTAGAGGGGGTTTTAGCCTCTTGTCTGTAACCCAGAAGCACTCCCTTCTTCCATCCTTGCGACCTTAGAAACCTCACATCCTCTACAGCTAGAGGCCATTTGCAGCTCTTTGCCTTCTTCTCGAATGCAGATTGTCATTCCCCCTCCCCCACAAGACACCTTGCATGAGGTGGTGTTTAGACAGTCTCACTGGGGAGTGGGGTGGATATTGCCCCAAGGGGGCAAAAATCTGATCTTTGGCAGGTGAAAAAAGTCTTAGCTATCGCCGTGGTTTGTGGTCTTTTAAAGGGGTACATATACAAACAGCTCTACAGTATTCCCGTGGCATTAAAATGTCATGGGAGGGAAGGACAATTATGGGGAAAAAATGTCTGAAGTCTCCTCAGGGGAGAGAAAATGGGGGGGGGGGTGTGGAATAAAGTAGAAAAACAATTACTGTGCAAGCAAGCCCCACTCAGGCTAAGCTGTAAATCTATTTTGGATGAACCGTGTCAGGTTATGAAATACAACAATCCACATCACTTGGGGAGCCCTATGGAAAAAAGAACAGGGCAGAGAGAATGTCTCCTCAAGGACCCACACGCAGGGCCTCCCTTCTACTTAGGAAGAGAAGAGAAAGTGGCGGAGACTGGACACCGGCTAATGAATAGCCTGCTTGGAGGCCACTTGTGAGCTGAGGCCCCCAGTCTGGGGCCTGCAGCCAAAGCGAGACCTTGCCCTGTCCCTGAACCCCTGCCTCCCAGGTAACGGAATGGGTCCTCACACCTCTGAGGGCCACTAGACTCTCCTGAATCAAACAGTGGACTCTAAAGCTTTTTGCAGTAATTAAAGGAGAGGAGTACAAGAGGCTCAGGGCAGGCCTGGCACCTGTATTAGCAAAATTTTAAACCTTTGGTCTCAGGGAGGGAACATCCTGGCTGAATGGACATTTCTAAAGAGGCCAGAAAACCTGTTTCCAGGGTTAGAGGAGACCTTCCACGGTGAGGGCCCTCCAGATCCCTTCTGCCACATAGTCTCAAGTATCCCAGGGAAATGTGCAAGCAGGGGAAGAAGAAACAGAAGCAATCACTCTTGGGGGTTTTGCAACCCAGTGTCTCCTTAATTTTACACAAACGTCCTTATGCTCTATTTAAAAAAAAAAAAAAAGTGTTGTTTTTAAAACTTTTTCTGTGGAACTGGAGTGATATAACCAGTGTCTTCAACCTCAACCCTGTTGTCCCCACTTGGGGAGAGCTGACTTGAGTCCTTCTAAAAAGAAAGAAAAATGGCACTTGGCACGGGAGTAAAGCCTAGGGTCTCTATCATTGGGATGTCAGCCTAGCATGAGCCTACACCAGCTGGCTCTGAAGATTTTGATCTGGAATTTGGATGTCGTTGTTTCCTTCCCCCAAAGATACACCCGCCCCCATATATACAAAACTGTGCAAGGTGACCACAGTCAGCAAACAGGAGAAACTTTCTTTTTTTTTTTTAGTGCTCATGGGGGGTTGAGGAGATGTTGGTGTGGCAGGAGGCCTGCAGAGTGAGCACGTATTTGTGGAGCCAGTTTGGGGTACGTGCTCTGAGGTGGGGGAGGAGTGTGTGGGTGTGGATGTGGGGGCTGTGAGGGGACTTCTGTGTGCGCGTGCACACGGGCACGTAGGTGATGGTGGTGATGTGGGTGTGGGTCTGTGGGGGGTGTGACAGGATAAACTTCAAACTGCTTGCATTTAAAATATATATATATATATGTTCCATGTGTTTTCAAGCAAAGTACTGTAATGGGTCTAATTGTTAAGCTGAAACGTTACCATAAATACCCTCTAAAGTGTCCCAAAAGTCTGGAAACGAGAAAGAATGTATGTGCGGCATTTTTCAGATTAACCGTGGATCCGTTGCTTAAAGGTTAGAAGCACATTACTGGGGAAGAATATCTGACCCAGAGGCTGAAGAAAAGCAAATTGAGCATAGTATTATAAAATGCAAACCGACGTACTACTTAAAAATAAGTTTATCCTGGTTCCTGATTTGGAGGAATCCCTCTCTATTACACGCAAACTGTAAGATCCAGAATTTCCTGAGGGCTTTCTGTATGTGGAATCCTATATTAGGTGCTTTGTCTATGTTATTTAATCTTTGCACAAGAACCTATGAGGAGGTTCAGTGATAATAGCCTACCCAGTGGATTAAGAAACTGAGGGTCAAACGAAGAGGGGGTGGTAAACTTACATGCCAACAGAGATGATGTAAATGATTAAAATAATAAAGGACACTGCCCTGTAAAAAATGATCAGTTCAAGCCAGTTGTTGCTGGGTAGGAATTCAGGCCCAGTACTGCCCAATCGATCGATTTTTCCAGAGAAGCCAGAACTCTGGATTCGTGCCGAATCTTCAGATTTTCAAATGTTGGTAACTAATTACATTTTCTATTAACTCTGTGTTGGCCATGCCAAACAGATTTGTGAAGCCGGCCCAGCGGCAGGCCTCTAGTTTGCAACCTTGGAATTGAAGTAACTTGAAGTTTCTCCCACCTGGGAAACAAGAGGACAAAGGAGAACCCAACTCAAAATCGTTGTTTTCTCTTAGGACACGACAGACAGACATAGCAGCACTGGCTTAAATGCAATTTTGTTTAAATGACTCAACTTCTTAAAGCCCCTCGGTCTACGGAAGTGGGAGCTGGAGGAGGCTCTAGGAGATGAGCAAGCAGCAGGAAGGACTCTTATTGGGCCATACTGAGCAGGGGGGTGTGGCTGGAATTTTAGCTGTTAAAATCTTCACAGAATACAGACATTCCAAAGGCTATCTCAGGTCCACCTTCTGGATTTAATACCAGCAAAAAGAAAAACAACAACAGCAGCAGCAACAACAACAACAAACCCCAGGAAGCTCCTTACCTCATCTCCCCCCCTCCCCAAGACAATCTAACTTGAAGCCGAATCTGCAACTTCCAAATGCACAAGACCTCTCTAAGTCTCTTATTTAAAGAGGATCCTTGACACATACCTTCTTCAGTAGGAGTGTGCTTCCCACAATATTTACAGAGGCCAAGGTTTTTGTTCAACCGTGTCCTGGTGTTACAGAACCCCCAAACATAAACAAGACACCTGCTATCACCCTATCACTAGTTTCAAAAGACTGACTGTAGCATTTAAAATGGGATTAACGTTTCCCTCGGTTTTCCACTCCTGACTGTGTAAAAGGTTCTCCTGGAGCAGCTGAGCCGGCTTGCCTTATGGAGAACTAAAGAGCACCACGCATGCATGCACACATAAGCAGCCATTTCTATAAATGCCCGAGAAAAATCACTCAGCTGAATGGTTCAGAACTCCAGGAATCTTTTTTCTAAGACAGAAAGACTCTGGTAGCTCCCACAGAAACCCTGCAGGCCTCCCGGGCCGCCCGACCAGGCAGCTCCCTGAAGGAGAAAGTGCCTTTGCTCAAGGTGGCAGTGAGTGTCATTGTGAGCCACTGAACTCGGGGAACATGGCTGACAAGGCCAGGCCCGCCCAACAGCCGCGGGTGAGTAACACCCTCGGGTTAATACACCCCGGCTTCACCCCGGGGGAGTCACGCTAAAGGTCAAATCCCCCAATTCGGGCACACATCTGCCTTCCCACGGCCTTACAGATGCAAACTTCCAGCTCTGCTGTTTGAGGGCAGCTTTAGATGACACCCCCAAACAGAACCTGATCGTGCATTAACCACGCAGGAAACTCCATTGCAGTCCTGGGCCAGCAGGCGCCTCCACAAGAAGCACCGTCCAAAGGAAATAAAATCCGAAATGCAGTTACGTGGCCTTGCTTTTCAAAAGCAAAACCAAACCAAACCAAACCAACCAATGATCATTTTAAAACCACAGGCCCCGGGCCTCATCTTAAAAGTTCCTACAATCACACCCCAAAAAGACAATACTTGGCTAAGGAACTCCAACGGCCTCTTCAATACGGTGTCAGAGGGTCGAAGGACAGTAAGTTCCATGAAAGGGTCAGGTCCTGCGCTTCTTATCAGAATAGCAGTTGTAGAAGAGCCTTACTAAAGATGGTGAGATAGCAGGGCCCAGCCCTTTCCAACTTTTTCTCAGTTATGTTAAACAGAACCAACAGAATTGGCTGACCAAGGTCTCTGTAAGCCTCCAAAGCCCGTTTTTATACTGCATATGTCTTCCTGGCCACATTCCTTGGGCCAACGCTGGCCTTTTGGTCTCCCTGGGAAAGACCCTTCCAGGAGGTCTCCAGGCCCACGTTCTCTACTGAGCCTTGACCTCAGGCAAGGACCACACCTCCCCGCTAACTATTCAGGGTAGAGGGTGCCACCAATCATGTGTGTGTGTGTGGCGGGGGGGGGGAGGGCGGGGGGAATCAGCCTTGGAATCGCATTAAAAAGGCTAACTAGTCATGAAGTTAACCCACCAACCATCACTTGATCAAATTCCTCTGCCGCCTGAACCAGTGTTATTTTAAACCTCCCTGGGGACTCTTGGCCAAATTTAAAACCACCTTGGCAAGCCCTGAAAAGTAGCAAGCATACAGCTAAATGAGTCCTTAGTCATCCCTAAAAGGTTCCACGTGAAGTGTGCCGCTTCTCCCCAGGTTTTGGCCATTTCGCTGCAATCCCTCAAGAGAATCAGATAAAAGATACGCCATCTGACCTCCCCAATGCAGCACCTGCCCAGGTGGGGTGGCCCCACGGTCGCGGGGTGCGGGAGTCCTGGGGGCGGGGCGGGCCGGGGTGGGGGGGTGCGGCACCACTCCCCGCGCAGCCACGCACAGGGGCTGGCACTCCGCGCTCACTCTGCCTGCCAGGTTCATGCTCTCCATGGCTTCTAGAGACTGGAGACAATTAAGGAGAGAGGGAGCATTCCGTCTCTACACGGCTCAATCATTTAAAGAGTTAAACCAGCATCTTATCCAAAATGTTGGCACCCCTGAGGCCGAGCGTGGTGTCCTTAACGCCCAGAAGGACTGCCCGGCCAAAGGTTAACTAACCCCAGAGCTCGGTGGGAGAGGGAGACGCCGCTAACCTGTATGCACTCTGTAATGGGCTTTGAGATGGGAGGATTTTCCATAGACTTTCCCACAGCCACTGTAGGGGCACTTGTGCCTCTTTTCGGAGGCGTGTTTCCCCTTCGCAGCCACTCCAGGGTGGAGGAGGGAGAGCGGGCTGGGCGCGCTGCCAGGATCCTGTCTCTCCTCCGGGCTGTGAGAAGGACTCGACCCAGATTCGGTGGTCACGTCGCTGTCGGATCCCATATCCTCATCCGGACTCTCCAGACTGTCGCTGCACACCGAGGGGGTCTGGATGGGTCGGTACTTGTTCAGGTCCAACAAGCTCTTGGCGATGGTGACCAGCGTGCAGTAATCCTTCCAGGTGTCCCCCGGGTCACCGTGCTCCTTGGTCACCTCGCGCTCAGGTAGTCGCAGTCGCTCGGTGTCCGGAGCGCCCCCATGCTCCGGCACCGCAGCGCGGTTCGAAATAGAAACCAGACACTGGGCAGCCACGAAGTCCATGTAGGCGGCCGCGGACATGGTGCGGGCGACAGCAGCCCCGGCGGCGCGGCCAAACTTGGCGGTGGCTGCGGAGGTTCGGCTCGCCCTGCCCTGGCCTCGG